CGATGATAGTTTTTATTCACCTTCAGCAGAGGAGATAATTGACTCGCTGCCTCATTTCTCTGTCTGTGCTGGGGAATGAGGTGTTTTTAAGTGGATTTTCTAGATAACTGAAGCTTACCCCGGTGAACCCTAACATTTTTTGTCATTTAATTACTCTGGGGGAAATTTCTCTGGAATGAATTACACACTTCCCTGATTCCTTAATCAGAATATTCTAGATTGAATGTAACCTCTTCCGGTCAATTTGGGTATGTGGGGCTATTTGCCCCGATATTAATAGCTCCAAGTTGCTTTGCTTTTTCAGTCTACTTTTTTTTTCTGTTTATTTCCATGGTTTCTTGCTGTGGCATAGAGTTTTTGCTGCATGTTTTTAGTAGTCCTCCAAAATACACATACATACATGTAGACACAAACATACACCCATGTGGATACACACCAGTCTGTGGTCTGAGAAGCCAGATTGTCAGGCTTAATAGAGCTGTATTTACATTAAGAGTAATTGGGGTTTGAATGCCTTCCTAGATGTTCCTTAAATCAAAAAAATCCACTGCTGTCGAGTCAGTTCTAACTCATAGCGACCCTATAAGACAGAGTAGAACTGCCCCCATAGGGTTTCCAAGGCTGTAAATCTTTACAGAAGCAGACTGCCACATCTTTTTCCCTAGGAGTGGCTGGTGGGTTTGAACCACTGACCTTTTGGTTAGCAGCCAAGCGCTTAACCACTGTGCCACCAAGGCTCCTAGTTGTCCCTTGGGGGGAGGATGGCGGACACTGTTACAATAGGAAAGAGATGGCAGTAGCCTTGGCTAAGGTAGTAGCGTTAAGGATGGAGAGAAGCGGACAGATTCCAGCTATGTTTATGAGGTAGAATCAGCAAGGACTTGGTGATTTATGGGGTGTTGCGGGGAGGAAGAGGAGACAGTGAGGAATGCCACCCCAGCTCTGGCTTAGGCAGGTGGATGGACACCGGTTCTGTGCTCTTTGTGCGTAGACACCTCAAACTCAACGTCCTAAACTAACCTCATTCTATTCTCCCCAAACTCCGCTCTTCTCCTCGTGTTACCCACCAGTGTCCACCCACCTGCCTAAGCCAGAGCTGGGGTGGCATTCCTCACTGTCTCCTCTTCCTCCCCCCAACACCCCATCAATCACCAAGTCCTTGCTGATTCTACCTCATAAACATACCTGGAATCTGTCTGCTTCTCTCCAACCTCAACGCTACTGCCTTAGCCAAGGCTACCTCCATCTCTTTCCCATGATAACAGTGCCCGCCACCCTCCCCCGCCTGGCCTGGTTCCACCTGCTACTCTGACTCCACTCCCTCAAATCTGTTCTCACCAATCTTTCTACGGCCACACCCACTTACATCAGTCCTCTGCTTAAAGCACGTTCAGAGGTTCCTGCTGCCTTTATATGAAGTCCGCACCCCTTAACACGCCTCACCAAGCCCGTGGACCTGCAACCGTACCCAGGAATCTGCCTCACCTCATGTCTTGCTCTGCCTTAAAGTCTACACTCCGGGCACACATAATTTTTTTTCATTTTTCTCTCACATGTCATGCTTTTCTCACCCCATGTTTGTATATATGTAATGTTTTCTGCCTAGACACATCCTCCACCCCCACCTCTCCCTCTAGCGTCTTCTCTGAGGATGTCTTCCCTAGCCCCCCGTCTGGGTTCAGATTCACTCATGTGCTTCTGTAACACCCGAACAGCCCTGTTTTAGCACCTTCGCTGTGTACCACAAATGCTGCTCCAGCATCTCTGTCCCCACTAGACTGTACACTCCAAGAGGGCAGGACACTTTCTGGCCAGTTCCAACTCATGGCAACCCCATGAGTGTCAGAGTAGAACTGTACTCCATTGAGTTTTCAGTGGCTGATTTTTCAGAAGTACATTGCCAGGCCTTTCTTCCGAGGCACTTCTGAGTGGACTCAAACCTCCAACCTTTCAGTTAGCATGTGAGCACGTTAACCATTTGCACCTCCCAGGGACTCGTTGAATGGACAAGTAGAAGAATGAAAGCACCCAAGTCACCTGTCATGAAGTCCAAGTGCATGGACTTTATGACAATATTCCGACTTCCTTATCAGAGGCATAGTTTTGCTTCCTACAGGCTTTTGGCTGGACCAGCAGAGACTGGAGACATTTCTGATAAGTGAAGTGTAACTGTATGCCCTGGAATGTGCCAGGGACGAACTAGATTTGGACTCCAAGAGTTTAGTGTGGAACCAAGGCCTCAGGGCAGTAACTGTAGCCCTAACTAATGAAGGGAATCCTTTGTTCTGGATCCCGGGGTTGTTGACAGTGACGCGCGGAGAGGAAGTGTCCAGTCTCTGTAGTGTCCCTGCCATTGTGCTTTGCATCTGCCACTCTGTCCCCAGGGGCGGCTCTCAATTTTTCTCCTAGTAACCATCCTGTAGAAAGTGTCCCAGTACCTGCAGCGGGGTGAGCTGGAGTGAGAAGGTCTGGGCTTGCCCTTCACAATGATGTTGGGCAATCACTTAACCTCCCTGACCCTTTATTTCCCCATCTGTAAAATGGGGAAATAATAAAAACCTAACTCACGGGGTTATTAGGGGGATTAAATTTTAGTAATGTATATAAAAGTTCTGGTGGTGTAGTGGTTAAGAGCTCGGCTGCTAACCAAAAGGTCAGCAGTTTGAATCCACTAGCCGCTCCTTGGAAACACTATAGGGCAATTCTACTCTGTCTTATAGGGTCGCTAAGAGTCGAAATCATCTCGACAGCAACAGGTTTGGTTTGGTTTGGTTTATAAAACTACTAGAATGGTGCTTGACGCATAAACAAAAAACAAAATAAAAAACCCATTGCCTCAAGTTGGTTCTGACTCACAGCGACCCTATAGGACAGAGTAGAACTGCTCCATAGGGTTTCCAAGGAGCAGCTGGTGGATGCAAAGTGCTGACCTTTTGGTTAGCAGCCAAGCTCTTAACCACTATGCCACCAGGGCTCTGCCTGGCACATAGTAGATGTTTAAAATGTGACCGTCATTATTATTACAAAGCAGTTGTATCATATGTACGTTAAACTTATGTGAGTTTAACTCCACGTGCTTGACAACAAAAAAGAGAGAGAGAAGTAGCATAGTAGGTAATTTTGCTAGTCTTTCTACTACTGAATGCATGCCCTGGGGGACAGAGTGCGGTAGGAGATGCTGGACTGTTGGATACTGAGTCAATCTCAGTCCTCTGAGTCTCTTTCGGTGTGGGTGGAGACTGTAACTATAACTGGGCTCGATTTTTGCCCAGTGCAGGGGAGGGGGGCGGTTCAGTTATAACTTGGCAGCTCAAGTTGTATATGTGACTATTTGGGGTGCAGATGAAGAAGGAGTGAACCAAAATAGGATGGTTGGGATTCCAGGCCCAGGGTAGTTCTGTCTGCTAAAGGATAATGGGCAGCCACCATTGATCACCTGACCCTTGGTCGGCAAGTGAGAGGGGCACATGGGGGGTTGATAGGGCTGATGGAGTGATGCCTCCGCCAACCCTTTAGACCTCAAAGATCTCATATACTCATTGGCTGCATTGGAGCATTGTGCTCTTATACAGACCCAATACTTGAATGCTACTGTATCTTTGCTCATATAGAGCTTACCCAGAGACACCTTACCCAACCCCATTCCCCCACACCCTACCCTCTCTGAGTGTCTAAACCCCAGAATCACTGGAGCACAGAGATCAACTGATCATCTGCCTGTCCCCAGGGTGACTAGCCATCCTGGTTTGCCCAGGCCTGAGGAATTTCTGAGAATGTGGGGCTTTTGGTGCTAAAACCAGACAGTCTTGGAGAAACTGGGATGGCTGGTCACCCTGTCAGGCAGATAAGTAAGACATCTATCTTTCAAAGCCCAGTTCAGATCCATGTAGGAATCCTGGCCTGATCTTAGCTGGGAGCAATCTTCCCTTCCACTGAACGTCTCCAAGAACATTATTTGTGCCCGTCCGTCCGTGTCTGAACTCCACACCTCACCCCTACCCCAGAATGCAAACGATGAGGCTGTAGTTTGAGGACGTCCTGTTACTGTGTGTTGTTTATGCATCAGGTGAGAGTCAGAGAGGGAGGTGGCAACAGGTTGGGTGACCCTCCTGGAGTTCTGAGTGGGCCAGTCAGCCCCTTTCCGCAGCTGCAGAGTGTGAATTTTTGCGAAGCGGGCTCAGATATCACTCTCTGAAACGTTTGATTCCATGTAAAGATCTTGAAGGCTGTCTGTCACCTCTTTCTGCTGCTCCTTCTGAAGCTGGCTGCTTGGAAAGTAATGAAATTGAACTGAAGAGGAAGCAAGCTGAGGGAGGAGGCACTACAGAAAGGGAGAAGGAACGTGAGCGAGAGGTGGAAGGGCTGACAGGGAACTGGAGCCGGGGAGCCAGGGGAGGGGCAGGGCGTTAGAAGAAATGTTCTCAGAGAGTGAGAGGCAAGAACTGAGGAAACCACTGAGTGTGGGGAAGAGAGAAAGGGGCGGGAAAGACAGAGAAGGTGGGAGCTGGGCTAGGCTGGGGAGGCGCCGAGAAGGGGAGGGGACACACGGGGAAGAGTGGTGGCAGATCCCACAGAACGGGCCTGGCCAAATTGAACAAAGACCGAGGGCCAACCGGGAAAGATTTTATTTTTAGCAAAGACAAAGGGAGGTAGACAGTGGGGCTCCAGAATTTCAACACAGGACAGCAGGCTTCAGGCAGCCATTTGGTTGGAGGGAAATGCCTGGACTGGGAGACGGTTCTGAAGCTGCGTTGGGGAAACGAGCCACCTCCGATTCTTAGCTTGTATGATTCTTAGCTTGTATGATCTTTGTGTGGCTTGGTGGAAGAGCAGATGGAAGTTAGGAGTCCTCAAGGTTTCCCCCCAAACACCCCTGGCTGCCTCCGGTCCGTGTAAGAGTGATGCGGAGATGGGGAGTCCTCGTGGGCAGTGGTTCCGAGCCCCTGTCCCAAGGAGAGGCAGTTGAGGCCCCTTAGACCTGACCCTCCCCTCTCTTGCAGGCTGCGACAGCGACCACTGGGGCCCCCACTGCAGCAACCGCTGCCAGTGCCAGAACGGCGCTCTGTGCAACCCCATCACAGGCGCCTGTGTGTGCGCCGCAGGCTACCGCGGCTGGCGCTGCGAGGAGCTCTGCGCGCCCGGCACCCACGGCAAGGGTTGCCAGCTGCAGTGCCAGTGCCGCCACGGAGCCAGCTGCGACCCCCGCACCGGAGAGTGTCTCTGCGCGCCGGGCTACACCGGCGTCTAGTGAGTAGAGCGGGGGCGGGGCCAGGCGGGAGGGGCGGGGCCAGGCGGGAGGGGCGGGGCCAGGTGAGTGCAGCCTTTCTTACCGCGGCTGAGCAGCTGGGCCCCGGGCTTCTCGTGGGTGGGCAAAGTGTTGGGAGCAGAAGGATCCAGACAGATCTAGTTGCAAAAGCTCTTGCGTTCTGACCCCCAGTTCGGGTGGCTTGAGATCTCCGTCATCCAGGCGCCACGACAACTGGTGCAACCTAAGATTTCACATAGCTGGGTGCTTCCATGACCAGAAGTGCTGATCAGACTTCCCCAAGAGGCCCTCCGTTATTGGGGGAAGAGGTCCAGCCCCTAGCACCAGGCCCAAGACTTTAGCTTGGAAATCTCCTCAGACATTAACCCAGGCGCATCTCCTCACTGACTGTGAACTCACTAATTCCTGGGCAGCCCTGGGGCCCTGACACCTCGCCTGAATGCTGCTGTGTCTAACACCTTTGCTTCCCTCATGCAGCTGCGAGGAGCTGTGCCCACCTGGGAGCCACGGGGCTCATTGTGAGCTGCGCTGCCCCTGCCAGAATGGGGGCACCTGCCACCACATTACTGGCGCGTGTACCTGCCCCCCAGGCTGGACGGTAGGCTGGGCCCGAAGGATGTGGGCGGGGCACTGTGAAAGGTCTGCAGAGCCCGCACTCACGGGCTCAATTCCTCTCCTACCTTGAATGTCTCCTTCCAGTTTATGGTCACAGGGCCTCCTTAGACACTGCCAGGGGTACCATGGGCACAGCTTTGAATCCCAGTTCTGCCATCTAAGTGCTGTGTTGCCTGAAGCAAGTTACTTAACCTCTCTGAGCCTGTGGTCCCTCGTGTACAAAGGAGTTGATTCCTTCCCATAAGATTGGCTCTGCCTTTGGGCATGGGAAACCACATGAGCTGCCATGGGGTGTGGGCCTGATGTGGCAGAAAGGCCATGGTATTAGGGCTGGGGCAGGAAGAGAGACAGCAGAGTATGGACCACTTGAATGTATAGAACTTCAGATGCCCAGCTTCCACTGCTAGCACTCACACACACACACACACACACACACACACACACACACTCACACACACACACTCACACACTCACTCACTCACACTCACACACACTCACACTCACACACTCACTCACACTCACACACACTCACACTCACACACTCTCACACACTCACACACTCTCACACACTCACACACACACTCATTCACACTCACTCACACTCACACACACACACTCACACACTCACACACACACTCACACACACACACATTCTGCTGCTGTGGATCTGGGGGTGGGGGAGGTGTGCGCAAATCTGTACTTTAACAAGTGCTCCGGATGGTTCTGATGCAGCCTCAGCCCAGGTCTCACAACCACTGTGAGAAGGGGGATGAGATTTATAACCTCACAGGCCTCAATTCAGGTCTCACATCGCTGCTGACCCTGCAGACAGCCCTCGACTACTGTGGTCATCTACTTTCCCATCCGCAAAACAACAGGAACCCCTGCCCTGCATAGCTCCCGTGGCTGGTGGGATGCTCAGAAGCAGTGCATGTCGGAAGGGCTTTGCAAACTCTGAAGTGCTCTGCAGTTGCTTGTTTCATATCCCTGGATGCCACAGATGACCACAGGCCTCATTTTCACCAACATGCTCTGCCCGACAGCGCCTCCTGCAGACCCAAGCTCCTCAGAAACAGCGAGTAGGCAGAGGCTGAGTTTCCCGGGCCGCATCCCTGCCTCTCACGCTCCAGTGACCCACCCTGTTTCAGGGGACGCTCAGTGACATCACTGGCTGCCTCCCCAGTGGCCTGAGGCTGCATGAAGCCGGAGAGGACAGGGCTGCTGGGCAGGAGTGGGACATTTCGGGAGGCTGTGCCCGCTGAGGTCATGGGGCCATGCAGGAGCAACGCCCGAAGGGCCCTTGACTCAGGCACAGACTGTCAGAGTTTTTAGAGCAGGAAAGGGCCTTGGAGATCATCCAGTCCAGCAGTCCCAGGCCTAACTGCACACTGTCATTGATCAGGGAAGTGTTCAATACAGATTTCCAGGCTCAACCTGAGACTTCCTAGGGCCCGGAGACCTCTGTTTTTAACAAGCTCCCCAGATGATTCTGAGGCAGCCAGCCCTGTGTGCAGGTCTGCATTTGAAAGTAATTGATCAAGGCTGTAGGATTTCCTTCCGTATTTCACAGGACCCTAGGGTTCCTTGAGGGTGGAGGAGGGGCCGGGGGCCTAATAATTAGGGCTCTGGCTCCCCACACCCACACTGCCTCTCTATTTTAGTTTATTTTCTACATTGAGAGTCTAGTAAGATTTCACATCAAAACAGGGCCTCCCGTCTTTAAGAGGTCTGAACACCACAGGGCTATCAGTAAGGAGCCCTGGTGGCACAGTGGTTAAGTGCTCGGCTGTTATCTGGAAAGTCTGTTGTTCAAACCCACCAGCCCCTCTGAGGGAGAAAGATGTGGCAGTCTGCTTCCATAAAAATTACAGCCTTGGGAACCCTATGGAGCAGTTCTACTCCGTCCTATAGGGTTGCTATAGGGTCTGACTATGAATGGAAATCAGCTCAGCAGCAATGGGTTTGGTTCTTTTTGGTTTTGGGTTGTCAGTAATTTCCTTTCTCAGGTGAGAAAGCTGAGGCCCAGGGAGGGTAAGTGACCTCCCCAAGGCTCCACTACTGGTTAGGGCTGAGATGGAACTAGATTCCAGGTCCCCTGACTCCTGAATCCCGGCCCTGGTATCTGTCTGTCTCTTCTGAGGAAGACAGAGGGGCGACTGCCACCTCTCCCACCCTGAACTGCTCTCGGGAAAAGCCCTCCCATTTCTAGCCAGCTCCCGGAAACCCACCCCCAGGCAGTCTGGGCCTCTGAGGCCGGCAGCAGGACTGGGAGGCAGGATCAGTATGTGGCGGGGGGAGAGCAAGGCTGGAGACAGGCCGAGTGTGCAGCCTCTCTGGAGAGACCAAGGGAGGCCGCTGGTCCAAGAGGGGGAAGGGAGAAGCCCCCACGTGAAGGGAATTATTTTTTCTCCCCAACACAGTGAGAGATTTGTTCTTCCAGATGACAGGAAACTCGGTCGACGGAAGTCTTTGGATTTGAGGATTTTATGTTTTTAATTTTATTGTAGGCAATTGCATTTCTATTTTTGACAGAATTTAAGTTGCAGATTTATATGAATTATTAATACCCCTCGTGCATATGCAGAGTCACCGTATAATGAAGCTGCAGTTGAAGCCTGAGGCTCCTCCCAGGAACAGCTGGGGCCAAGGAGAGGGTGCGGGGAAGAAAGGTCACCCCCTTTATCATCCTCCACTGGCTAACTTTCGCAATGGCCCCATGTGGTGTGAACCACGCACTTTCCCACTCAGAGATCTAAAGCACATGATTGATGCGCACCAGGCAGCTCCCCAAGGGACTGGCAGGTTGGGTGGAGCTGGAGAGGAGCCACCAGGAACTCAGGCCCTCCGGGCCCCTCCTCCGGGATCCTGACCACCAGGCCCTGAATATGCCCACAGGACACTCCTCTCACCCAGCTGGGGGGAGCCCTTCCAGGAGGGGCCTTTGCAAAGAGCCTGGGGACTTCTTTCCCCCCTTTTTCTAAGCACTGAGACCTTTCAAAAGAGAGAAACCAGATGTGAGTAGTTTGATGAGAATGGGCACTGCAGGCAGATGGGGAGGTAGGAGGAGATGTGATTGACCCCCCCCTTAGGAGTTCCCAATCTGATGGTGGAGGCTGGATATAGTGTGTGTACACACACACACACACACACACACACACACACACACACACGAAAGGGAACAACAGGACTGAAGAGAGAAGGGGCAGAGAAGGTGGAAATAGGACCAGTTATCATGGAGGAACAAACAACAGTGCTTGTAGCTGAGCCTGTAGAATCATAGACGGATTAGACGGAAAGATTGGATGATTCATGGAGCCCCACACCCTGGCCTGTGGCTTGGATCACCTCCACAGCGCCCACACCAACTCCGTTCTCTGCTTGTTGAGGGCGTCCATGCCATCCTGGCACGCGATAATTAGAAATGCCTTCAGATGTTTGGAGAGGCTGAGTTGTCTCTTCTCCAGGCAAATTGGCCCGACTTTAAGGCCTTTCACCATTTGGCCTTCTCCTTTTTTGTGCTCTAATTAGCCATGGTCCTCTTAAAGTGTTGCTGGTTTCCAGATTTTGACAAAATCACTTGGTTTAACTAATTCTGGAACGAGCAGGAATGTTGCCTCACCCTCAGCTGCAACCTTCTAGATGTCACACAGCCCAAGATCCCATTACAGTTGGAGACACAGACTCAGTTGACCATAGGGCCAGAGAGAAAGCATCAGGTCACAGCCCTTTCGTGAGCTGACGCTTGCTTGCTCTCTCCCCTGCTGCTCTTCATGAGGCTGCTCTTCCAGCCAGCAATAAGGGTGTGCTTCTCCTCCACTCTTCTCAGTCCTGGGCTATACCGGGCTCCCTCCACATGCTGCCTCATCAGGTCTCAACTGGATTTAGTTAATATTAACTAAGTGCTCTCTGTAAGGCACCTTCCAGGTTCTTCACATCTCTGATGTCACTCAGTCTTCACAACCACCTCGGAGACAGGGCATTGCTACTCCCCTTTTATAGATGAGGAAACTGAGGCTCAGAATGACCACAGGACTTATTCTAGGTCGACCATCTGGGAGGAGGCAGAGCTGGGATTTGACCCAAGTCCTGGCTTTGAGTCCACCACACCAGGCAGCAGGATTTCCCAGGAGCTCAAGCTTGAGGAGGGGCCTGGAGAGGGAATTTGGGTGCCTGTAGTTTGAGAATCCTGAGTGGAGGTTCAAAGAGCTACTTGCCCACCTGTCCGAAAAGTTTCAGAGATGCTTGACTTCTCCAGGGAGTGTTGGGAGGAAGCATTATATGCATCAAACCTTCCTACTGACTTCCTGGGGGGTCAGGGTCGAGTCTCAGAAGTGTGGAGGAGAAGGGGTGCCCGCAGCCCGTGCACGCGTGTGTGTGTGCATGCACGCGTGTGTGCGTCTGTGCATGTGTGCGTGTGTGCGAGTGTGTGTGTGTGCATGTGTGCGAGTGTGTGTGCACGTGCATGAGGGCCACACTACTTGGGGGTGAGGGAGTGGGGGGCATAAAGCACAGCCCCTCGAGATGGTTCAGATGTTTTTTGAGGGTCAGAGTGTCCTTGTCCAGCCCAGGATTGTAGGTGACTGACTCAGATACTGGCCTCAAGAATCTCTAGAGCTTATGGGCAGCAGTGAGAAAGGCAGACCCCTGCCGTGCTTGATCTCCCCTCAAGGAGGAGGAGGGACCCCTATCTGAGCGTCTTTTCTCTGCCCCTGTCTTCACGTACATGCTCATCTCACTGTCCGGCTGCTGTCTCTGACCCCCTTAATCCCTGCTTCACTTTCAAATCTGTTAGGTGTGCCGCCATATTTCCATATTTCCATAACATGACTTACTACATTTCCTGACTTTTCCGTTGTAAGCATTCATTATCCAGTGACTTCCTGTTGGAGAAGAATAGGAATCAGCTCTGTCACACACAACACACAAGCACACCCGAACTTACGTGGGTAGAGGAGCAATCTGGGCTAAAAGGCCTCCCACTCAATTTGTTACAAGTTCGATGATCCTGAAAGATGACTCTGGCCCGGCAGTATTTTCCTGACTGAACTAGCTTCCTCAAGGCTGGCAGTTATTGGTTCTTAATAAATGTGTGTTGAACTAATTGATTAATTGTGGGATAATCTTCAATCTCTGTAAGAGAAATAATTATCTCTAGTGTGTGAGAGGGTAGAAGGGCCGCAAGAGCAAGTTCAGAATTCTCTTTGATAAAAAC